TTGCACCTGCTTTACTCATTGCTTACAAGTGTGCATGGATGTGAATTGATGAGTATGAGCAGGGCTGCTTGGCCTGTGATGAAGTATCTGTGTCCTGCAGCTTGGCAAAGCAAAGCTCAACTGGACTCTGGGTCCTGCTGTCAGCTCCCATCCCCCTCTGACTTTTGTGTTAGGAAGGTACAGAATACGCAATAACACAACATTCCAGAAGCAAACGATGTGCATATGAAAAAAATGCTAATCTACACATAAAGTCCTTATTTTAATAGTGTCCAATGTTCAAAAGGTAAACTGTATTTGAAGTCATTGTTCTGTGAATATTATTTTGTCGTGCTACTGACATGGCTCTAGGGATAACAGTGCTGGCCAGTGTGTCTGCCCACCACTTTGTCTGGATTACATGTCAACAACTGGACAGACTACAACAAAATTTTGTACAAGCATATATTGTCCCCAAAGGATGAAGCCTAGTGACTTTCATGATCCCCTGACTTTACCACTATCATCACCATGAGTTTCACAGTTCTGAGAAAACTGACGCATTGGAGGATGGAATGGTGAACCAGTGGTTAGCGCTGTCGACCCGCAGCAAGAAGGTTCTGTGTTCAAGCCCTAGCTAACCCAGTGCTCCTCTGCATGGAGTTTGCATGTTCACCCTGTCTGGGTTCTTTTCAGGTACTCTGGCATCCACCCAGAGTCCAAAGACATGCATCTTAGGTTGACTGGGAAAGACTCCTGTAGGAGTGTGTGTGGTTGTCTGTCTCTAAGTGTCACCCAGTGTCAGATGGGATTGGCTCCAGTCCCCCATGACCCTCTTCAGTATAAGCATAGATAATGAATGGATGACCTATTGGATGAACTTCTGCAAAATTTGATTCAGACATTTCTGCCCTCCTTCAGATTATTAGCATTAATGCTAGCACCATCATCAGATCAAAATTTAACTTTGTCCAGTATTTTGGTTTACAACATTCCCATCAGCGTCAGCACATGGCGAACATCGTTAACTTGCTTGTTGGCAGTTTCTCTGATCATCTTTGCATGATGATGTTAGCATTTAGGTCAAAGCATCATTTTGACTAAGTAAAGCCTCCCACTTGCAGTGTGAGAGTGGCTCCATTCAAATGAGGGAGAGGGCTGATGTTTTGAACATCAGATTTAGATTGTCTTTTTTAGTTGACAATATAGTAAAATTATTTATTATGCCTCTCTCCAAAATTGCTCCTTGCAAATTCAACTTATGCATGAAATGTATATTTTAAAGTTGATTGATGGTAACTTTTTTCATCTTTCACATTGACAGTGTCTGATATACACTATTAATGGTTTGGTTCCTGGTTACTACATTATGACTTATGTGGCTACTGTAAATATTGCTTTTCTTGGTAAATAATAAGATTTGATGAATGTCCTCCTATTGGATGTATTTGATTTTATCCTATGTCCTACCCAATATCACCAAGTAGTTTTTTTCTGTATGCAATACAATATGATACAATACTGTATGATATGATGTTGTGTATTATGTGGCATCGCATTATATTCCAGTTGACTGCATTTAAAGAGCTGACAACTCTTCAAAACTGTCATATCAAAACAGAGCACTGCATCATATATCATTGTATACTATCCAACCTGTCACACTGGGAAAGACTGCTCTATATATCATCATATTCCCCAGTCAGCTGCTGCACCGCCTCAAGCTTCATGTGACGCTGCTTCAAAATACTGTAAGAGGTGCAGTCTGGGTGGCCATTTGGCAGCTCAACAGCACGGCCAGTCAGAGAGGGGGGAAATGGAAAAAGAATGGAGAACTGGGAGGAATATTAGCTCCCTAACCCACAACTTCACAAGAATATGTCTTTAGAAAGCACCAGGGCAGCACGGTGGCACAGTGGTTAGCACTGTTGCCTCACAGCGAGAAGGTTCCGGGTTCGGGCCCCACCTGGGACCCTTCTGTGTGGAGCATGTTCTCCCCGTGCTTGCGTGGGTTCTCTCCGGGTACTCCGGCTTCCTACCACAGTCCAAAGACATGCAGCTTAGGTTGATTGGTGTCTCTAAATTGCCCATAGGAGTGAGTGTGTGTGTGCATGTCTGTGGTTGTTCGTCTATGTGTTAGCCCTGCGATGGATTGGCGACCTGTCCAGGGTGTACCCCACCTTTGCCCGATTGCCAGCTGGGATTGGCTCCGCCGCCCCCCTTCCCCGTGACCCCGTTCGGGGACTAAGCGGTACAGAATGAATGAATGAAAGAACCATTCATAGAGAACCGGTCAAAGATTGAGCAAAGCCAAAAAAGATAGCACACTGTGGAGTCAACTTATTTCCCTCCTCCACCCAGGCCACTCAGTCTCTATCTCACAAACCCCTCCTCCCCCAACTTACAGAGCTGCTACAAGCCACTCACTCAGAGGCAAAGTGAGCCATCTTAGAGGTACAATGAAAGGCAGCTTTTTATAAGCACCTCTGACTGGCGTGCAGGGCCATCACAAGGTCACTGAGCTCTACTCCACAACCAAGAGAGAGGCACAGTCTCCACTGGTAAAACATCAGTTACTGAAGGCAACACAGGATGAACTATAAGAACACAATAACTTGCTTGGTCTCTGCACTGAGAGGTCAAGGAAGATGCTGTTTAGATAAGTGTTTCAATACTGAACTATAAAGGTAGAAAGAGGTAAGTGGAGGTGGGGTTGGAGGGTGCATGTTTTCTTTCTGAGTCCTGAGCAGCATCCAGAGAGTGAGCTTGGCAGCAGTCCTTGTCTCCCTTGGCGTTAGTACTGCAGTCACAATACATTTCCCATCTCCGCTGGATTGTGTGCCGGCTGGCGCTGCTATCCAGGACATGTCGTGTCCGCTTTAGACTTGAGGCTCTCTGGCTTGAGCTAATCCAACAGCTAACACACTGGAGCAGACTGCTGAGTATATACACTGTAATTGTGTAAATAATTCAGGTTGTGTAGGAGTGAATGAGTTGTGGTACATAGGTTTTCTGAGATGTTGATGAAAGTATACAAACACTATTTGTTGTACTGTAAATTGGATCCTGCTAGCACTAAGTGTGTCTGACAAAACAGAAGGCTCTTAAACAACTGGATGACTTCTGTTCCTTATTCCCATGCTCACACAATCACAAGCACACCCCTCACACACCCAAAACTTTGCAGTCCAAGTGGAGCAGATTTTGGTTTGCTGGTCCATATTCTTAAAAGGAAAAGAACTCATAGCTTTTGACATCCTGCTTGCTGATACTGACAGCCACACTGAGATCCACATGTGGTACAGACTCCCTGTGCTGATCCTGCACCAATTAATTTCATGAATGACTAACTTGTGTTCGGTAAGAAACTCCCAATGGCTCTAGGCTTTACCTCACTAGCCCTCACCCTCACACCCCCAGAGGAGTGGCACTGCCAAGAATAGCCATAGCATAATGGAGTCAAAAGCCTTGTGTCTACAATGCGCAATAAGAAAATAATTACAGATCCAGTGGTTAGGATTAAACAAGAAAGTCAGTCTCTGTTCCAAAACCAGAGCATGTTACACTACTCATGTTTATTCAAGGAAAACAAAGGGAAATTTAGATGTAGTCACCCCTAATGCATTTAGATGATAATGTTGTCTAGAGTACAGCAGAGCAGTGGTTAGTGCTGTCGTTTCCCAGCAAGAAGGTTATGGGTTCAGTTGCCAGCCAAACCGGAGCCTTTCTGTGTGGAGTCTGCACGTTCTCCCTGTGCCTGTGTGGGTTCTCTCCGGGTACTCCGGCTTCCTCCCACAGTCCAAAGACATGTAGCTTAGGTTGACTGATGACTCTAAATTGCCCGTAGGAGTGAGTGTGAGTGTGTGTGGTTGTTTGTCTATATGTCAGCCCTGTGATGGACTGGCAACCTGTCCAGGGTGGACCTGACCTCTTGCCCAGTGTCAGCTGGGATTGGCTCCAGAACCCTTATGCCCTATTCAGGTTAAGTGATATAAATAATGGATGGATGGATGTTTTCTAGAGTATTCTCAGTTCAGAGTGTTTGAGTGGCATAAAGTCCAGACTGTCACATGACCTGTGCGAGGACCAGGATGCATGCTCTAGAAATTAGCCTACATGCTCACTGAAACTTTCATAATCTGAATCCTACCTCACTGATGAGTGACCTAAGGAGGACATGTGGGCACTTTTTGGACATTATTTGAGACAGCACAGCCCTAGAGAGAGTGGCAGCTATGCTGTCTAAAATGTTGATTAGTTTTGGCATGTGTAGAGATACGTAGATTGCCTACCATCTTTTCGTTATTTCTCTAGAACCCCAGGAGACAGGGCAAGGAGATGGACTTGAGCCAGCAAAGTGTAATTAAACTTCCACACGCAGGTCGTGTACTGTTAAACGCTTTGCCACCATTTCTCATTACATAACAGTGTAGTCTAAATGATATGCTGTCACTGTGCAAATTAATTGGTATTTGGTGAGGGCAGAGTGGCAGCATTGTCTCCTGCATGTGTCCTAGGGTCGATGGGATCATGAGAGGGCTACGCATTGTCTGACTCTGATTAAGAACATAACACGAGTTAAGTGCATAAGAATTCTGGGTTATCATACAAGTCATAAGCATTCATATGTTATGTAATTTCTCAGCTTTCTCACCTATTTGACCTTTGGATGCAGATTTCTTAATTCACACTAATGCAAGTGTTGCCCTACATTTAAAAGACAGCTCACGATGTGAAATAAAGAAAAAAGTCCTGCATAAACCATGAAGAAGAATTGTAAGTGAGGTGACAAGCAGTGCACAACACAGCACTTCAGGCTCATGACAAGCTAATATCTGATTCAGAATAGCATTATCCAAATGCTGTTGCCTTCACCTATCAATATTCAGACTCAGGCCAACCTCTAAATGATAGCAACATTAATATTAAAATGAAGCAGATTAAAACTCCACAGGGCGTGTATGTGAGTGTGTGTGTGTGTGTGTGCCTTTTGAGTTTGGTGCAACGCCAGCTTGTCTTACCCCCAAAGTAGGAACCATCTGAGAGCTTGGTCTCCTTATTGCCTTTGGTTAGTACACTGACAACCCCATGTTGTATGAAGTACATTTTCTTGCCAATGGTGCCCTCCCTGATGATGTAATCCCCAGGTTGGAACACCTCAAACTTCAGCTTGGTGAGCATGGAGGTGACAAAGTTGGGGTCGGCGTTGGCAAACAGAGGCATGGATGCCACCAGCTTTCGACAGTTAAAGTTGATGATTTCCTGTTTAAGCACACAGAGAAAGATTGAAAACAGAAGTTAGTAAGAATATCAGAAAAGAGTTGGAGCTTTACAAAATGCATTGAGCTGTCACAGTTTCAGACCAGAGGAATAATAAAGTAACAACAGGAAAAATGTCGGCTGTGCAGAGACCTTTTCTGCTCTTCTCTCAGTTTTATTTTAGTTTGGATTTAGCCTCAAATATATATATACAGTATATACTGTATGTAAGGGTAAAATGTCTGTGAATTTGAACTGAACTGAGAGAAATGTCAAGCAATACATGGGTTTTTGAAAGCATCATAGCCGCATGTGCAGCGGATTCAAACCCAGATGAAAGCATTCATCCCACCTCTCGGAGTGGTTCGTTGAGCTCTCCCAGGATGCTCTCCTCATCAAACATCTTGCCCTGGTAACGGTGCTCGTAGTAGTCATGGATTCTCTGCCTCATATCTGCGGGTAGCTTATGAAAGGACATGTACTGCTCCACCTGTTTGTACTGCAGGGACACACAGACACATAACAGTCAGGTTACTCAAATGCCATAGTCCAGGAAGAAAAGGAGTCAGATTATGCCTCTTACACTGTCTCTGTCTCTCATGAAAGACAGAAGGCAGTGGTGTTTGATGTTTAGTCATGCTGATAATGTACAAGGATCTTGGAAACAATTCTCATGGCTAATCTGGATTCCCATGAAAATGGTCTCAAAGTAAAGTAACCGTGTCACTCCAGTATCTAGTTGGAGTTGTCAATTTCTGTGTCTGTTTCAGTGTTCATTTGTATGTCCATTTTCAAAGTGCACACCAGTAGGACATGTTTGTGTAAAGAATTTAATATAAAACACTGTGTTGCTGCATTTAGACAGCTTTAGGTAAAATCCCTATGGTGTAGGGACAGGGCTGCCATTTGTACAGATACATTATTATTGTGAAATTATATGTTTATATGCTTTTATTTTGTGTTATGTTATTTATTTTATTTGTGAATTTTTTGCTAACACACAATACGTACTGTAGAGCTACTCAGTCGACAATAAATTAAACAATTATAAAATCATTAAAAATGTTTAAGAAAATTTGAACCTATATGATAACCACTATATAACAACACAAATGTATCTTACTGATAATGGATATTTAGAGTATACATGAGAAACAACAAACAAAGCCTTGTGGTTCCTCAAACACAGACAAAGACCAACTGTCATTGGTGTTTCTGTTTTATAGTGGAGACTGTGTGTGTGTGTGTGTGTGTATCATCCTGTCTTTATCCTGTTTGTTAAAAATCAAAGTATTACAATGCGTGTCAGATGGCCTTTCACTGATTCTGCAGTACTGGAAGCAAAGTCATAGATCAAAGCCAAATGAGATCACCTTGGGAATAATAACAGGAAGAATTCTTGACCCTCAGTGAAAGAAAAAAAAAGAAATTAACAATTCATATGGCAACGCTGGAGGTGGTCTTTGATCACCATTTCTACACTGCCAGCAGCCATGCCACTCAGTGACATGGCTGACCTCAGATGTCTTATACTCTGTTATCTGACGCTCCTACTCCAGTCATCACTAATCCTAGGGGAAATCATCAAAAGGACGATCTTGTGGAAATATAGCACAGTAAATAAGGACGACTGTCTCATGCATGTCAGGCTTCCTGGAAATCAGGGGGGGGAAAGCAACTCGTACTAGTTTTAGAATCACTGGTGGAAGAAGTATTCACATTCCTTACTTAAGTAAAAGTATATTCAAAATGTTACTTAAGTAAAAGTACAAAGTATTAGCATCAAAACATACTAAAATAACTAAAAGTAAAAGTACTCATTAGGCAGAATGGCACATTTAACATGAATGCATATTATACTATTAAAGTATAATTGCTTTTTTTCTGTTTGACCATATTTATTTATTGACTTTTATTTTTTTTATTGCAACAATAACGCATTTACAGGACAAAAGACATAACATAGCAGATGAGACACCAGACATTAACAAACGAGACAAAGAGATTATTAAATTAAGTTGTGTGTGTGAAAGTGTGTGCGTGTATCCAAATCTATGCAGACTGATAATCAGTACTTATTAAAGAAAAATAATGTATTTGACCAGAGCCTTCCGTGTCCCTTGCAGACAGAGGAAACAGTCTGGTGTCACTTTGTGCATACTGATGATACAGCCCCCTCAGTTGTGACCAGTCTACAAACTGTTGCATGGCCCTGCTTGTAATAATGCTTTTAAATGCATTGTTAGGTGCACAATGAGAGTCATAAACAGCGCACACTGCAAACAGTTTTATGCACATACAAAAACACAACAAGAAATGCAGCAGATAAGGCAGAATAGTTGGACTATCAGTCTGCAGTCAAACACTACGAAACTGCTCAGATGATGTACTTACAATATCACTTTGCCTCTCAGGGACTGTCAAGTGAAATAGTTGACAATTTATATGTGCCATTGCTGCGTAAAGTGAGCTGGAAAATTAAATACTTGCACAAGCAAGAATAAGATGTGGAAAGAAGGCTTTCAGATATCCAGTCTCTGGGCATCAGTGGGGAGATGGATGAGTTCTGTCATGGGGTGAGGGTTTCAGTCTTTATCCCCACAATCCCTTTGGCATAAAATTGAGCATTTACTGATCTGGTGATTAAACAGAATCCTTTCATAGAAAAAACTTGTGCTTCACTCCTCCAAGAGATGGAAAGCTATAAAAAACAATGAAATACATCTCCAGCTGCAGTGAAGGTGGCTTGTCTGTGTGTGATGCCAGGGTGAGGATGACAAGTTTAACCCCCATTCTGCATCTTGTCTAATGTCCATATGTCTCCTGCACAGCAGGAGTGGTGTTTCAAAGGCATGAACTGTCATATCCTTTGATGTGTCTCCCAGCCTTGTTTTTACATTTGTTTAAGAAGAAAAAAAAGTCAACATATAATAGTCAGCATCTGATATATCCATTTATCCTCAGCTTTGCACCTTGCTGGAATTTGGTTCTCCCTGCATGAAAGAGCATTATCATGATGAGTACAACAGAACTACATACAGTAGTAGCTTGGCGTTTCACTCAAAGGCATTTCATATTTTCTAATGACTGCTGAGCCTCAGGGGAGCTGACAGGGATGTAAAGACACCAATCATGGGGGAGGGGGGGCTCTCCTGGTGCTGTGATGGGCTGATAACACCCTCTGTGACAGGAAATTATCTTATTGCTGTACAGCCACCATCACAGTGCCCTGCTCTCCTGCTCTACGTGGCTAAATCAATTCAGAGTCAGCATTAAGTAGGTAATCATTCTACCATCAGCCTCTCTTTCTGCCCTCTGAAAACCAGGGGGCTCAATCAGCGGGGAAATGGTGGGTGGGGGCTCTTCAAAACCTAAATGTAGCCAATGATAACCACAGGATTCTTTCTTTCTTTCATTAGTTTGTTCTTTCAGGAATGCAATCATTTTTAAGATAAGGCAATTAATACTACTTTCATATCCATATAGTAACAATGAGCAGCCAGTTAACACATGGAGAAAAAGGTGATCTAGTCCAAACATTTGTCCAAGTGTAACAAAATCCACCTTAATACTCAAGTACCAAATAGGCCTTTTCCTCTGTAGGACCACACAGTTCATAACAGAATGTGTAACCCTTGTTTTGTTCTTTTCATTAGTGTAACAAACACAATATGTAAATGTACACCAATACTAATTTAACGAGTTGACTATAAACAAATCAACAAAGATGTCACATTTGTGCAAGTTCTGCTTGTTCAGCAACTGTTTGAGAAACTGATCATACAGTCCCCATTACTGGCAGATTTTCTGGTAGTCTTTGGGAAATGAATGTAAGTTAATGTACAGACCTAGTAAGCACCAAAAACGGGGGTGGGTGGGGGGGGGGGGCAACATTACAGTTGCATACTCTGCCCACTAAGCTGCGTTGTCAATTCACAATGCTTAGTTTTGATCTTCCTCCATATGGCCATTCTCTGGGCTCTATCCCACTTGTACGTCTCTTTTCTTTTCAGACTCTCTATTCTTTTATCATACTTTTCATTTCCCCAGTTCCCTTCTCTCTCATGTAGCTCTCCAAGCAGAGGCATTTTTTTTTACCAAATAAAACATGAATAATTCATTTCCCAAAAGAAATGTCAGCCACTTAATTATACTTTCTAAATATTTATTTTTCTCCAGTGTTCTGTCTCCTTCTCCAAACTGTGTGTTGCATGGTCAAAAGTTATGGAATATATAATAAATCTAGCCGATGTATTAAATATTTGCATTCACAAATAAGCAGGAAAAATGAGTACCAGACAACTTAGAAATTCATGTTACTGAGATTCTCGAACACTTTTCTTCTTTTGAAATACATGTGCTGTGGGCAGACATTTACTATATACTGCCATGGCAGAGATGCATCAAGCCGGTGTCAAAAAACTAGCAACAACGAAGGCCGACCTCTGCGTCGCCTCAAAACAGCTACTGTTTAAAGCTGCTTCTAGTCTGATAAGTTGTAATGACGCTGGCGCTCTCTACCCTTGGTCTTTTGCATGTAGAACAAGAAAGGAGGTTGTGGAGGCTAAACACAAGGAGAAACTGCACTAAGTGGGTGAAATCATGGATACTACAGTGACAGGTTGAAGGGGCTTTCCTGAACTGTTCTATTCCTGTGCTTTGATTCGCTAAGCTCAGCAACCAACCACAGTGGTCTCTCTCTCACAGATGACTAGCACCAATGGTGTGGGACACATCGGAAGGATGAGACCCGACAGACCCTCAATGGCCCAATGGTGGCCAACAGTCAATCGTTGACTTGATGTGTCTCTGCCCTTATGTGTATTCTATTATGGTAAGATGAGTACAATTATTCCTCATTCCACCAGTCATGAATAAGCTCTATTAACTGTGAAGACACCCACTACATGCTCAAGGTGTGGTAATGTGGCACTGAGGAGAATGTTGGTCCGCCAGTCCATCACTTGAACAACAAGCAAATAGATTACCATGTAATTTTTAACTGTTCTGTCCAATACTTAGGTTTACAACTAAATATCGGATGCAATCTTAATCAGTCTCTCAGCTGTATTTTATGTTTGGTAGTAATTAGGAAGGGCAGCACAGTGGTGTAGTGGTTGACACTGGAACCTCACAACAACAAGGTTTGAGGCTTGAACCTGCCCGTTAATCACAGTCATTCTCTGTGGAAGTTGCATTTTCTCCCTTTTCCTATGTGGGTTTCCTCTCTGACCTCCAACTACCAGTACAGTTAGGTTAAGTGGCAACACTAAAATGTGTACCTGACCTCTCGCCCAATTTCAGCTGGGATTGGCTGCAGCTCCTCAATGACCCTGTGGATGATAAGTGGTATAGCTAACAGATGGATGCTAATTAAAAAATGTTAGCATGCTAACAAGTTAAATTACTATTGTTTTACTCAACATCAACCATCCATCTGTGGGCTAACCTATAGAGAAGGCAGACCCTTGATTTGAATTATAAATAGGAATGTGTGCC